CCCACCTCCCTCACTGAGTCCAAAGGGCAGCCCAGGACAGAGCTGGACTTCCTGATGATCTTATCCAGCTTCTTATCCATTAGTTGAATTGAGATAACCATTCATGGTTTCTCACATTCAGATTTTGCCAATTGGTATATTATTTCATTTTATTTATACTTGCAGCTATAATTTTCTCCCACCCCAAATAATTTTGTTCTCCTCTCCTCACCATTAGGGCGTCTTTGTCTATTGCAGCCATCATCTTTGCACAGAGCTCCTCACAGCAGATGTTCTCCTCAGCTGTGACCACAAGTGCAGAGCAGCGGGCGAACACTTTGTACAGCTTGGACCACGTAGACAGCATTGACTTCTGGGCCGCCTGATCAAAATAACAGGGCTCAGAATCAAAACATTGCCTTTAGGAGCGGTGCGGCTGCTTCAGGGTCTATAAGGGCCAACAGCAGTTAAAAGTGCAATGGTTGTATAGGTAAAATGAAATTTGAAGATGAACAGACCTGCTGTAGTGGTGTGCCACGTAGCAGGTGTGTAATGGGGAACAACAAGGCCGAGTGCATGGCACTGAAGTTGTGCTCCAGAGCGTCACCTTGGTTGACTTCATTAGACTGTATTTAAAAGAAAAAAGAAAAAAGAAAATAGTGATTGAAAATGTTACTGTTGTGAGGTTAATTTAGTGCTCTGCTGCCATGATCACTTACCTAGCTAACTAAACTCACTAACCTAGACCTACATTTACAGACTCCAAGCCTTCATCTATCGCTTCTAAATTGTTACGAAAAATGCAATTGTGAAAAATAAAGATTCCGAAATGTTGGAAATAATCTGCTCAAGATTCACCCAAATCTCTGGTTTTACACAAACTTCCTGCAGTTATTGTGTTCACGGTTTGGGTTCATTGTACAGTTTATTGGTTGTTCTGTACGAATTGTGTTATACATTATTATATGAAATATCCATCAATTATGTCACTGAGTCAGGGGTCGTCACATATACTGTGATAGAAAAAGCTCCCTGATCCATTAAAAAAAAAAACTCCCTTGGCCATGACACCAAAGCTTGATGATCGGCTACAATTCCAACTAAAATTTCAGATATTCATTCCTACCCTACCCGTTTAATCACATCTTTTCCTCTATGTCTTGCTGACACAGTCAAGCTAACACACAATCCCCATTATCCCTACTATGAATCCTTTTTTAAAATCACCACTGAATGAATGGTCATCAGTGTTGCTCCTGTGAGCGATGCCGCTGCTGCTCTGCCTACCTGTGTGATGGTGTCAGTAAGCGGGCTGACCATCACACTCCACATCCTCCACAGCTGCTCCTTGTTCTGCAGAGAGCCAGCGCTGCGCCCGATGGCCCCCAGCACCGCCTCCCCGAACGCCAGAGGAGAAGTGGGGCCACACAAACTGCAGCCCACCAGTGTCTGAAGGCACTGGAAAAACCTGCAGACGGAAAGGCAACAATTTTAAAAGGATGTCAAGTCGTACAAAGAATATGTACCACTTTCCTAAATCCACATAGCTTAAATATGTATTAGGTTGGTTACTTGTTAGGGCTGACACAATATCTAATTTTTAGTTAAGAAAAAAAAAAAAAAAAAAGTTATGACAAAAATGGGTTTTGCTTTATTTAAAATAGAAAAAAGGCACACATTAGTGGATGCATTGAAACCAATTTTGCAGTTTACATTTGCACCCCCAGAGGGCACCAAACCATTATCCACAACAACACCACTCTACTTACAGATTATACATTAATGAGATTTAAATCATTAACATAGCAGCAAACAAATGTTTGCTAGTGTTGATCCGGGAGCATTGCAGCTGTGTGTGCGTGTTAGTGCCTGTGATATCGGCCTATCGCAGACTTATTGGTGTATTGTCATCTGATATGTGCCCATATGAAAAAGGTATGTAATATAAAAAGGCTTGTAGTTTCTACATTACTGATGTTTAGCAATTTATTTATTTTTTCCCCCTCAGTGTTCATTTTAGAGTTGGTTGACAATGTAGCCTTTGTTAAAATCACTTAACTTAAGAATGTTTAACTTGATTACCAAACTTCAATTAATAGCATGGGCTTTTATTTGGTCTGAGAGGTTAGCACTCTAGTGCAACATCTGGTCTTAAAGTTATATAAAGCACCTTTAAATAATGTGTTGCTACTGTATATTAAACATCACTCAGATATTCCCAAAAACAACAATCATGCCATTTAGGGGTGCTTGAACACAAATGATAGACAATTACACTAAATGATGACAGTAACCAGGCTTAAGTGTTAGTCTTAGTCATGAAGTGAAAACTCATTTAAAAAAAAATAAAAAAATAAAAATAATAATAATAATAATAATAATAATAATAATAATAATAATAATAATAATAAATAATAATAATTATTATTATTATTC